TGGAGTAAAGAAAGTAAATAAGAATAAAAGAAATCAGTTGAGAGAAAGGTAAAAGAAAGCAGACAGCAGGAGAGAGAGAGCTGTATGAACAGGCCAACTTGAAGTGAGAGGTGCTGGAGGTGATCGTCAAGGCCAGGCTGGTGAAGAGTAACTGAACTGGACCAAACACGGACGGACATACATACACACGGACCACCTGGGTGGATAAGTGGATGGATGGGTGGATAGCCAGGGGGATTCCATAGTGTATAGAGAGTACAGTAAGTGTAGCTGCTCTTACTACTACAAACAATAATAATATGACAAACACACTACAATGAAAACACTAGATTCGCCTCTTGTACTCCGTGACGTCATCAGTATGGCATTTGACGTCACCGACATACCGCTCCAAATGGACAACTCGGGTTTGCCAGCCAGATCTTGGCCAGGCAGCAACACAGACCCCTGCGTGTTGGTGACTGGGTAAAAATAATAATACTTTCTCACTGTTTCTAATTTAACTACAATACCATACGCCACCCTGTAATAAAATCCCTCAAGTACGAACGTTTTTCTATTGGTATAAAACGTTATAGCTCCCCGGAAACATTTAATGACGCGCAACATTACGGCACTGTAGGGTGTCATACGGAGGCGAATTTTTTTTTTTTTAGTTTGAAAAATCGGCCCATGGTATTAATGATGTAGTTCTATGTGCAGAATCATGTGATATCTTCAGATTTGAAAAGTTTTCATTTTTTGCTAGGTAAATTTTAACTTGAAATCTTTATGAAAATTCAGTATTCCCCACCCTTTACCAACACCACTAAATAGCTTATTTAAAGTTTAAAGTAAATGTATCAGGTTAATTTATTCCGGATGAAAATGATCCAGAATATGAAACGAATGATCTTGGACATACACATTTATTAAATTAATATTCCTTTAGAAACAAAATCATCAAATACAAAACCGGTTTTACTATTACTTAATTCGGTGTTACAAAAAAAATTCATAGAGAATTTTGTTCTTCTTTTGCTTCTGTTTCACTCATCACCTCCCTGTTGACCACCTGAGCTCGGATGTAGCCTTCCCTCCTCTCCTGGCTGTACACGTGACTGCTGGCCTCGCTCACTTGCTGTACACAACGCTCTATACTCTGGGTGTGCGAGGGCCAGGCAGGGACATGCATGGGGTTGTCCAGGAAAGCTCTGACTTGAACATTGGTGAGGCTGCAGGTAAGAGGGGCTCACTGCCAGCCTGGATGTTATCCAGATCTATGAGATCAGTGAGGGTCTTAAGACTCCAGGATTGACTCTAGGAGCTCTCCTGACTCCTGAAGGAATCAGTCACTAACTGATCTTGGCCGTGCCTCCCAGATCCTCCTATAAGTCCTTACATCCAAGATCTTTTGACTGCCACTCTTCTCTCTCCTCCCTCATCCCATTGCAGAGCATTGTCTGCAGAACTGCCTCGATGAGACATTTTCAGGAAGATTCTCACAAATCTGCTCCATTAATTCGAACAACCTTCCTTGGTTACCTCAGGAGCCCAAGCTGGAAGAGAACATGCCCTGACCTTTCGAGAACGATGACTTGACCTTGGTGTTGAAACCAATTTAGACACTCACGATGAATTGATGGGGTCAGTGCCCAGGGTTGCATGGGTTCCTTTCAGTTTATGATGAGCGACCCAAATTCTGCAGAACCTGAGAGCCGTTGTGAGCCACCTAGAATGTGAGACTGGACCTATCTGCAGGTAAGCAAGTCTATCAGACATGACCCCAGTTTTGATGGCACTGCAAATCATGTAACCATAGTACTGGTCAGTACTCAGGTCGTCAATGACAGTATGTGCAAGCTCAACGAGTGGAGGGCCAACTGTGATTTTTTCAAAGCTCAGATTTATTTCTAACTCAGTGGCAGAGTCCAGCATCTTGCCAAGAGGACCAGACCATCTGTTGTTTGAGTCTTGCCATCCAGCTCCTGGATCAGATGTCTGAGTGGCAACTCGTTGGTGTGGAGGTCACAAACAATCCAGACCAGCTTCCTCCCAATCTTCCGCTCTATCCACTGTATGACCCCCCCTTGCCACCCTGTGTTCGTGTTGGTGCTGTCCCCTCCAATGGCCTGCAGGGTCTGGTCTACGCTCTCTCTCTCTGAGCCAGTTCACAATGTTATCTGCCACTATCTCAGCTGGTTTCCTGATGTCATCTTTCTCTGGAGTGAAATGCCACAAATACTTCCCTCCTGGTTCACTGCAGCAAGAGTAGTGTTCCTCCTTCACCATGGCAGGGGAACAACTTGTCAGAATCTCCAACTTTCATGAACACTTTAGTGTCATCCCTTCTCCCATCAAAGAACAAACAATTGATTCCATTTTCTCTTATCCCCTTATCAAACTCCTCTTCTAGGTTACTGACAAGTTTCTCCTGAGCTCTCCTTACTTTGTTATGATCTATCACCAGGTGAACATCATCAGGTGTTATCAAACCACCGTCAATCCAGGCAGCTGTTGCTATCTCTGCAGTTTCTCTGAGACCAGTGTGGTGTCGCATGCTGGCCAGAGCTATGCTCAGGATATCTTTCCTATTTCGAATCTTATGCCTGGAAGGTTTGGGATCATTATTTTCTGGGTTAGGGACAAAGTCACCATTCTCCTGGTCAGCACTCGGATCAGCCATGGGGAAGTCATTAAACTCTGAATCAGCTTGACTCCAATCATCGGCCTTTTTTACCTCACCCTGGGCCTTCTCAAGTCTCTTTTCCTCCACAACTCTTCTCCTCTTCTGTCTCTCTGTGGCAGCCTCCTGTCTCTTGGACTCCGGAATATCTTGGCTAGAAATCATGAGCCCCTATACTGCCAGTCTTCTCTCTCTGTGCTTTGACAAATGCCAGTTCGATCCACAGGAATCTTCAGTTCACGCTTGCAAATACAGGAGATGTGGACCTCGGATTTACAGTCACGATCGCATCCAAACTCAGGACAGAGAACAATTGGGCACTTACAAGTAATTATGTCAAATAACTGGTCCAGTTGCTTGCAAAAGCTGTCCTTAACTGCAAGTTTTTCCTCTCCCATGAGAGATATCTCTTGCCTTTTCCCAACTGGCTAGCAGTCTCTCACTAATCTTCTTCTGACTTATTATGACTGGAGGCTTGAACTGAGCGTTAGCCAGAGTGTACTGTGCCAAGACAGCTTTGGTCATATCACTGGCAATGTCTTTGTTTGTGTAAATTCTTTGGTTCTTTTCACTGATTTGCCTGATTAAAACACCGTATCTCAAAGCATCTCTCAATGGAGGCAACTCCGACTTCAGGAGCTCTCTCCCAGACCCAAGATAGTGACTGAGATGGCTGGATTTTTGGTTCCTCGTCCTGACACAAGCAGCCATCGCAAATATTATCAACTTATAAATGCATCAGAATCTGAAACAGAAAAAAATATTGTTAGTTGGGTTGTTAAAGAATGAAGTCAGAAAGCAATGTTCACTATTTAATTGTAATGCACTAATGCAGCTGTACGTTAGATTTTCGATAAATTTCACGCTAAAATTTACCTAGCAAAAGGTTGCAAAATATTGAAACTGAAATTATTTTCTGTTTATATACACTAAAATCTACCAAAAAAGTGATGGGCCATTAGTTTTAGCTGATCTTCCCTCCTATGACACACCCTATTACGGCAGCATTGTAGCTCTGACACTATATTGACTTGGTGGCTGTGTGTGTTTGTGTGTTTTAACAAAATCCCACCAGACATAATATGGACAGACGAACTGACAAAACCTAATTCTATTACACACACACACACACAGTTACGGTCGTCTCCCCTTCCCTCAATATTTGTTTCAGTTCAGTTACCCATTGTATTTAGTTTCTATAGTGTCCCGTTTTTCTTTAGAATCGAAATCCTAAACTTATGGTAAAGACTTATAAAGAGGTCTTGATTATTTGATATTAGTTCATCTAATATACTATAGGACTAGGCATGTGTTCTGGGCAGCCGAAACGGCACAATCGTTTTTCATCAAACTTGGTGGAAAAATCTCAAAAAATTCGTTGAGTGGAACAAACCTGGTCCCATGTCGATGGTTTCTTTAGGAAGGCATTAGTTAACAATTTTATTTACGATGGAAAACGATGCAAGTGTACAGACTTGGCGCACCCTAATTAACCATACATGTCTACGGACTCGGCACACCCTCATTCGCTGTACGCTGTCACGAGCGTTCAAACTCTCACAAGGGCACGAACGTGCCCGCGATCACTTGTATAGTCTTAAGAGTATTGTAGTCGTGAGATAGCATTGTATGTGGTGGAGATAACATTATTTTGAGTGAATTGATTTGTGGCCTTTTGTATGTACATGGATGGAGAGCACATATTCATTATATTTTGTTAAATATATTTTGCTGTAATTGTTAAAGCTGTGTTTTGATTATACCAGTTTTAATGGGAACAGTGGTATTAAAATAAACACCTGTCAAGAGGTTGTTAGCCAGAAATAAGGTAAGGGTCTGTGTTTAACATTTAATCTCTGTTAACAGAAGCTGTTATTTCAGAGTCTCCTCTGATATAATGGGCCTATGGGCTGACTATAGATCCTCTAGTGAGTCCTAGAAGAGGGTGTGAAGGTTGTAACAATACACACACACCAAAGTCTTACCTCCAATTAATATGATTCACAATAAAAAAATCCTACGTTAATGATGTTAGTCGACCTTAAACATGGCGGTCGAGTCTCTGAACTATTTGGTTTCCATGTTTGACCCTTTTCTTTTTTTAGGAGGACAATTTAACATGCATAATTAATGTCTTACCTGTTAATATCTTCTTTTAACATGAGAATGTTAACTTAACATATATAACTGATTATATTTATCTTTAACAATACAACTACCAACATAACATAACGAAGCCATAATATTTCAACTTAATTTTAACAACAATTTAACTAACTAATACCATAAAAAACTCGCCTTTCAAACTCTAAACTCTACTCAAGGAACAACTCACGTGGAAGTCAAGATCGTCCTCGTTGATGAAGTTACAGTGCGCCTCGGGGTCCACGTTGGAGTAGCTGCCGATACTACCGTAGGTCCGGTCCCTCACTATGCTGCCGTAGGTCCTGTCCCGCTGGAGCTGCCCTGTCCCGTTCAGCTCATACCGCTCACTCTGTCTCGTTCCGAACGGCATCTTGGTGGTGGGGTTGGTGTGATGATCGTGAGGTTGTCAGAGGGCGTTCTTCTGCATCAATATCTTATCAAGTTCTTCTTGCATCGATGTCTTATATCTACTAGGGAGGCGTTTATGTCTTCACCTGTAGATTTATGTTGCCTGTCGGAGTCTCGTTCATGTCTTTGGTTTGGTTGGTTAATACTAATGACGATGTCTTACGCTTCAGGTTATTGCGTTTTATTATTACATCAATACAATAATGAAGAAAGCCATTATGGGAGTGATTGTCTTTGGTTCTTCACACTTGAGGGGTTCATCCAACACTGAACCAAAGAGCAGTGGTAGTCTCTTGGTTCTTACGGTAGCCAGAGTGAACCATCGAAGCTCCGGATATATGAACCATTTGTTGGAAGGTTCACACGTGGCCCGTGACTTGATCTGTCTTCCTGAGCGACGCCTCGACTTGTGTTTCGATTCATGACTTATTTGAGGATGGAGATTCAGTCACTGCTTGCTCACGTCTTGAACTGACTCACCACTCGTCTTGAACTGACTCACCACTCGTCTTGAACTGACTCACTGCTCACGTCTTGAACTAATCCGCCATCCACGTGCCATCCACGTCTTCAAGTGACTCCTCACCACTCGTCTTGAGCTGACTCACTCCTTGGACACGTTCTTCAGGTCGCTGGTCAAGTCTTGTAGTTTTCCTTGCGTCTGAAAAAAATATTCATTAGTTTCAGAAATAAAACATTTTAACACGATATTTTTCCTTAAATTTTCCATCGCAAGCAAAAATTATTCGATCATCACTGATGGTTTATAATGAAGAGAAATTTGAGGTTGTGATTTTTTTTTGGGGGGGGGGAGGGGGTTCACCTGAAAATTAGCCCCCATAAACACAATAAAGCTAACCTAACCTAATGCTAACTGAACCTAACTTAGCTAACGTAACCTAACGCTAACCCCAACGGTAGCTAAAGTTGTTGTAATGAGACAAAACTCACCCGAAGAAGATATTACATATAGGTAGATTATTTATAGTAAGAGAAATGTAAAGAGAGAAAGAGTTTGGTAACGTGGCCGGGATGTTATTTACACTGTCAATGCACTTATCTTATCTCATATGTCAATACACATATATCATGTATCATGTAGTACGTTCTTAAGGGACAACTTGTTAAACACCACTTCGATACAACTATTTATTAATTCACTCAATGACACAGACACGTTAATATTACATCGGAGTTCTTAGCACATTATTGTTACGTTACTCGACACTGACTCGGACACAAACTTGAAAGGAATACACTTCCCACAGTAGGTAACTCACCCTTGGGATAGTTCTGACAAGACTCACATGTAACCTGACGTAGGCCCAGTGGGTGCTGGCCGGGCTGCCTCCTATTGGAGACTCTGCTTAGCTGGTGACGCCGGGTCTCTGACCTGGGGAGGGGACGAGCGTGACTCTCTGCGAGTGAGCAAAAAGACGACCAGGACGGGAGAGAGGATGACCAGAGTGACAGAATGACAATCTGCCGAAAAACCTGAATGAAGAATGCCCTCGTGGGCAGGACTGCAGGTCCTTTATATGGGCCCTCAACAGCCGGCGTTTTGACCTCTGCCAATTAACACTAAACTGGTTAGATCTGGACAGCTGTGTTCAGGTGTGGTCATGCCCACGTACGTCTTAGGTGTGGTTGTGGGTCACCCGGCTCACTCAAGTCATTAGCAGGCGAGGTCAGGTCCCTTGGGTCTTGACCTGGGGTGTGTCAACCTGGTATGTTGGGTACCACGAGGTCTGCAGTGTACTCGCTGATATATGTGTTGCAATTCTCTGGGCTGTAAGCTATGGTCTGACATTCAATCATTACACCTCCCACCAAGACCAAAGCTTCCATCACAGAGAACTGATGACACACATAGACAGCAATATCACGTGTAGTATCTAAGATAGTCCCTGAGGCGATAATACAATCTCACATTCACATAGATGTAGGTTTTCCTACTGGCCTAGTTTGATCTGACAAAGCTCATTATATTGTTTAGTCGTGAGGTAAAGTACGTTGGGGTGGTTAATCTTCAGGTGCTCCTCTCAATACACTTATACCTGTGCTAATATTGACTCTAGAATTACTGCAAAAAGTATTCTACCTGTGCCTCAGTCATTACCTCCTCAAGACACCTGTAATTAGCTCAGGTAATTACACTACCTTCAACTTTAATTACTCTTGGTATTATTTACTATAGTGCCTCCACATACACGAGTCAATACCTCCAACAAGCCTTTAATTAACTCAGTACCAACCCACTTTACCTTCAATTGTTTGATGTTATTAATTATTACATATTTGTCAACTTGATGTACTGTTGGACCAAATTACTGTGTACCAGGTGTGTGTGTGTGTGTGTGTATCTACTTTACACACACACACACACACACATCCCCCCCCCCACAACAACTCTTCCCTTCCCCCCACACCAGCTCCCCCCGGCCCCCCACACACAGGTCGTAACAGGAGTGCCTGAACGAAGACACTCGTGTTACTTCCATCTATAATTCACCCCACCATTACCTACTGATGTGTGTTGTTCCTTCTCCAGCTACTGCCTGTCTACTCTACCTCCTACCCTCCACTGCTCTCTACCTCCACTGTTTAGGTTAGGTTAGGTTAGCATTCGGATGTTTAATCATCAGGCGAAATAAACTGCGGTTTTTAATCCTCAAGAGATCCTTCAACTTTTTTTTTCTGAGTTAAAACTGCATCAAAAATTCAACGATAAAGTTGAGCAAACTTAAACTGTCTTGACATTTTCAGGAATGAGAGAGAAAGAGAGAAGAAAATTAGATGTCATATTTTATCTCCAACTTCACTGAAGCCAAGATAGACGCCATTTGTCTCTTTAGGCCGTCGGGAGAAGTTTTATTTTCAACTTTAACGTAATGATATGTTGGGCAGTCAGTCAGTATGTATTAAGATCACACAATTATATACAGTGAATGTTTGTAACACTGTGAACCTGAGTTACTTCATCACAGGGGCGAATCCAGGAATATAAAAAAAGGGGGTCCAAGAAGTTGTGGGCGGGGAAACAAGGCGAGCACAGTGAGCCCACCCAGCTGTTTTTTTGTTTTGTTTTTAAAGTGACCAATATCGCGCGCATTTTTAGGCTATTTTGAGGTCAAGTACACTTGATATTAGGAGATATTCTGAGGTCAATAGTAACTACTTTTTACTATACACACAAAAAAACGCACGAGTACAATACTACATTAAACAAAAATAATTGGAATTTTCTGATGAAAGGGGGGTACGGACCCCAGGACCCCGATGGATCCCCCCCTGCATCATCCATCATAAAATAATGCGACTTGATACATACCAGAGATCACCTGACCTGACCTGACCTGCCCTGCCCTGTAAGAGTCAGGCCAGGCGCAGGGTTGGAGCAAATACTGATTTTTATCGGTCAAATACAAACTTGTGACATTATGATGCAAAAATACAAATACTTTTATTCCTTAATTCAAAAATACAAATATAAATACAAATACTTCTGAAATTAAGATGTAAAAATACAAATACAAATGCTTTTATTTCCAAGTTCAAAAATACAAACCCAATACCTACAAATCAGAATTACATTTTATCATCATTAATGCCCGGAAGATTTCTGGGCTCAACTTAGCTCGCTCAGGAGTGTAAAAATTACCAGCTTTGCTAAACACTCTCTCAGAAGGTGCCGACGTTGCACAGCAGCCTAGAATGCTCTTGGCAAAGTGCCTCAGAATTTTGAAGCTTTGTATATCACGCCAATACTTCAGTGAGTTGATGTCAAAAGGCAGAACACCTTCCTCTAGGTACGTTTCAAGTTCCGTCTTCACCACTGTAGTGTGGTTTGTTGACGGGCTTGCCATCGATGGCCCAGATGTAGGCAAAGAGACGAGGTCGTTTGGCAATTATGTCATCTTTGTCTTGGTTGATGCTCATGGAAAGCTCATTCTCTTGAATTTCTTCCTTCTGGACCTTCTCCTTGTAGTCCTTGGTAGACTCAGCAATAATTAAGTCCACAATCTTCGAAATCTTTTCTTTCTGCAGTTCCTCACATGGAATCTACGCCAACTTGAACCTGGGGTCCATGGCAGCTGCGGCAATGACATCAATCCTCTCCAGAAATGGATGCAACCTCTTTTTGACAGATGACTGTAGTGCATTTGCCAAATTAGAGCAGTAGAGCAGTAATAAAAATAAACAAAATAACAAAAATAAAAATTCAAGTGTTTTCGTCCTCACAAATTGTCTGTAAGTAGCAATACAAAATATCAATTTTTCCTTTGTTTATGGAAGAGGAAAAAGGCAGTAGCCTTAAACTAGCCTACTGCCTGTAACACTAACAAGTGTCGAAATACAAATACAAATACAAAATACTTTTTCTTCTGGGTGCAAAATACAATTACAAATACATTGAAAATGTATTTAAATACAATTAAAATACAAATACAATTGTATTTGATCCACCCCTGGCCAGGCGTCTGTTTGTTTACATAGTAACTGCACGTCCTGAGATTTAGGCGACGCCCACCAATTTCCCCGAGTAATCCCAGCTGCTTCAGAGATAAGATCCAATTTACTTTAGTCTAATAAAACACAAGTAAACACGTCCTAACCTAAATCTCCCAGACCTGGTTTATATCAGGGTCTCGAACCACGACAGCTTAGAGGAATTAAGAAATTTAATATAAAGGTGTGTCCAGCTGTTTAAGAAAGAGAAAAGAGAGAGAGAGAGAGAGAGAGAGAGAGAGAGAGAGAGAGAGAGAGAGAGAGAGAGAGAGACAGACGCCATAAATGTCATCTCTGCATTTTCTCAGTCATTGCCCACATCTCCCCCTCCCTTCCTCCGCACCCAACCTTCCTCTCCCCCCCTCCCCCCGACAAGAGATAAGAAAATTGGCGTGTCTATCAGAGCCAAAGACCACACTGTTTGGTCCTACAACACCCAGCGGCGTGGATTGCTCCCTTTGCTACATCTTGTTGATAAGGCCGCGTCTTCCTCCTTCAGGGTGCTGCAACTTCTGTAGTGGCCATTGCAACTACTACAACACTACCCCTGACACTATAACTTCTCTATCTGACACTACAACTTCAACAACTACGCTACAAGTTCTACACCGAGATATAGAACCACCATACAAGCAACTGTCGTTAACTTGACATTCTAACCACCTTAATGTTTCTGTTTGTAAGTTCTTGTACAGTAAGTTTAATGTTTACTATTGAAGTTGGTGAGGAAGAGAGACTCTCTCTCTCTCTCTCTCTCTCTCTCTCTCTCTCTCTCTCTCTCTCTCTCTCTCTCTCTCTCTCTCTCTCTCTCTCTCAGTCTTTTCCCCTTCTCTTCTTACCCCACTACCCTACCAAGTCTTCCTCCCCCCACGTCCTACCCCCTCCTCCTATGATTGTTCCTCCTCCTCTTCCCCACGTCCTCCTCCTCCTTTGGGACGGGGTGAGACTCTTGTCGACAAAGCCATCTTGGGGGTGGGGATTTTCCAGTCGCTACACTTAATTTTCCCTGCGAGTTGGGGAGGGAGGAAGGGGGGCGGAGTAAGCGTGAAGGAGGGGTAGGTGGGAAGGGAAAGAAGGAAGGGAGAGGGGGTGAGCGAAGAAGAGAAGGAGCATGGGGGAAGGGGCGTCAGGAAAGGGGAGGAGGGAGGGAAG